CAACCAGTTTTCCAGGAGAGAAGGAGCAGCCGGAACATTTGCTCGCGATCATACGAAATTTCTTATAGTTTTCAGCCTACGTTCCTTATTTTGAAAAAATAACAAGAGGCTTATGAGATCAACTTGCGTTCGGTGTGTATGTCCCCTCTTCCGCCTGAAAGCCGGAATAGTGGAACCAGAAGCGATGGCCGTTTCTACATAACAGTTCGGTAAACACGTTCCCGCGGCAACGAACACGCGGAACGATAAATAAAACTGACGTAATGTTTTCTATGCGATGTGTCGTATCAAGTATTCAATTCGCAATGAAATGAAATTAGGCAATCTTTTTTTCTTCAATTTTGATTTTTATCTCACAAATCAAGGGGAGTGGATGACTAATCCCCTTCCCCCAGCACCCCTGTTCTTATAATGCAATGTTTCCTGGTTCAGAACTAAGAACTTTTGGTTGTCGTCCATTTTATTACTTCTCTATCGAAAATCGGCAGTGAGAGGTAAAAAGGTTCCTCAAAATTTTGCCTGCCCGTGTCTGCCAGTTGCAGTGACTTGTGACGTGTATATGCTCTTTATTGTACGCTGGATATTATTTTTCCGGTTCCTCTGATGTTCCGATCCCTGTCGGTAACCTGACCTGCACTGCGAAGAGACATTAATGTGGTGACCGTGGTTGCGGTCCGGGCCGCTTTCCTCTCTTCACGCTGCACGGTTACTTTGAGCTCTTCCACCCCGTCCACTTCGAAGAGGATCCCAGCATAAATCGCTCTTATATTCCTACGAGCACTTGTAATTGCTCTTGCGTCTGCCATTTACTGCTTACGTGCAACATCCAGTTAGCCGGACAGCTCTGATTCTCTGAACAATTCCAGACCGGCCTCCGTTATCTCTCTGACGTCACTCAGTTTGTGGCATGCGCATATCGACGCGCACTCGGTGCAACATGTACGTGTAGTATAAATAAGACTTCGGAGAGTTTCTCTTCCATGTGATGAAAGCCGCACTCTTGTGGCTTTATTGGTTTTCAAGGTAAAGAAATTTTAAACTGTGGGAAATCTTCCTTGATCACCTGTATTTCCATTAATTATATTTGTCCACTTGTAGATTAAGGAGGAACATAGACTGAGGGTGTTCCAGAAGGAAAGAGACCACTACGAAGACCAAGAAGTATGTGAGTGGATAATATTAAAATGGATACAAGTAATATGTTTTTGGACATTATCCATCGTCTTGTCTATTAAAAAAACTGTCCTGTTTCTTTTTAAAACAACGTTTCGGAGACTGGATTCTGTCCCCGTCCTCAGTTGGGTTCAATAGACAGAGCTAGCCCCTATGTTCAGACACATATGCCAGCTTCAGAAGGGATTCATAACCCAAGCAAAACACAAACCATCTGTGAGAGCTAAGAAAATATTCAACTAATGAAGCTACACACATATGAGGCCTTTCACCAGAGAAGTATCTTGAATGAAATCATACCTGGAGAGAAGCAATACTCCTTGCGGTGCCAACACATGAAACAAATAGTTACCCACTCCAACTACACTTGACGGCGCTGTAGTCTCTTGACTTCTGCTGTGATGACAGGGGTCCAGATGGGAGAGATACCCACATATGGTTGACTGGTCAGATGTTCCGGCAGAGACATGTGGGCTGATTCCTTGTATTTCCTGTATGTGGTGTTGGATTCGATCTGCAAGACCTTCGCTTAATTCCAACAAATTTTGTGGTCTTCCTCGTATGCATGTTGGGCTAATTCAGATTTTTCCAGCAAACCCTGTGTCATGTTATAATTGTGCTCCTTGATGCGCACTTCTAGGGGTCTGCTAGTTTCGCTGATGTAACATCTGCCGCAGTCGCATGGGATGCTACTATACACATACTGCTTCGTTTTCAGGGCATCTCTAACGGGTCCAGTTTTCATTAATGTCCCCCGGAATGTATGTTTCGTTTTGAAGATTGTTCTGAGCTGAAAACGGTTCCCGATGCATCTGAATTTCTCGGCGTTACCCTTGACATACGGGATGACTACAGTGCCTTGGTATGTTCTGTCTGAAGAGGGACGATTTCTTGTCGATGGCTTCATTACAGAGCCCACGGATTCTTTTGGATATTCACTGAGCATCAGGTCATGTCTTATGTTTCTGATTTCTTTATTATAATCCTTCTGATTTTGATACATGACCTTCGCTCGGTTGACCAAACTATGAACGACTCCCCTTTTTACTTGATGTGGGTGTTTAGACTTTAAGTGAAGATGACCAGTATGAGCGGGCTTTCGTTAGACTTTGGTGGTCAATTTGGCACCCCGCTTCATAACCAAAACATCCAAGAATGGAAGTGCATTATTAACCTCAACCTCCATAGTGAATTTGATGGTAGGCCTGATGTTGATGGAATTCCTGTAACTTTTACGGTCCATATGGCCATATCACAAACGTGTCGTCGACATCTCAGCCATTTAGCAGGCTTGTATTCAGCTGTGTCTATTGCTATTTCTTCAAAATGCTCCATGAAAATATTACTGACAACCGGAGATAGTGAGTTTCCCATTGCCATACCTTCCTTTCGCTAGTAGAACGTATCTTCAAACTGGAAGTATGTGGTTGTTAAGCAGATGTCCAGTAGTTCCATCATGTCTTCAACTTGTAAAGGTGAGCGCTCTGGGAAGGAAGGATCCGTTCTGAGTCTATTTCTTATGACTTGTAAGACCTCCACTGGTACATTGGTGAACAAACTAAGAAGGTCAAAACTTACAAGGCAGTCTTCTTTTTGCAGGTTGATATCCTGTATTGATTTTATAAAGCGTTCAGAGTTCTTCATGAAGGAAACTGTGTTTCCAGATAGAGGGCTGAGGATCTTATGGAGGAATCCAGCTAATGCATAGCAAGGAGAATCAACAGAACTAACTATTGGTGTGAGCGGGATATCAGGCTTGTGTAGTTTGGGAAGTCCATAGAGGTGAGGGGGTTTGCTGTGGTAGGGAGTCAGTTTACGTTTCAGTGCTGCGGGAAGGACAGTTTTGTATTTAGTAAGGAGTGTCCGTATCTTCCTCTCAATTTGAGCTGTAGGATCCTTGCGTAAGATTTCATATACCCCTTGTAACCGTACGTCCCTCGTCAAAATTATTTAATTAAGGGTGTGAACAACTGATGTATTGTTTCTCACCATGAGAGACGCTCCATCGGCGAGATACCATCCCGGGACCACCTAGTTGTAATTCAGCTATTGTCCTCCTTAGGCTAAGGGTGCCATTATTGTCCCTAATGTCGCCTGTTTACTCCCAGTATATCATAAACGCATGAACTGACCGTGTGCGAGACCGGCCAGGAGGGGTCTTGGGTTCCTTGAAGACCCACAGAAATTTATGGGCTTCTTTAAAATGTAGGTCAGATGCCGGGCTTGACCCTTGGCTTTCTCTTTTTATTTTCTAGTTTTTCCGATGCCAACTGGGGGACTTGAAAAGATAGAAGTCGGTTATAGGGAGTGGAGGAGGACAGTAGTTGAAAGGTAGATATAGAAGAAAGACGTGTTTAACAGTAGGGTAGCGAGTAGGGCGGACGGAGCGGCTAGCTTCAAGGACGATGCACAGATTAACAAGTGAATGAAATTTTAAATTAAAAGTACGATATTCAGTGTTCTGGAGATCCCGGATTCATTAACCCCGAAGTGTGTTCCACTCCCATCTCCGAAGCACCCGTATCCTGAGAGAAGAACCCAAGCTCGAGCAAGGCCATGGCAGCTGTACGTCGGAGGGCGGCTACACCCTGAATCTAGGAGGCTGGCTATCTTCTCCTTGTAAGTAGACTCATTCAACACCACCGTGCAGTTTCCCTTGTCAGTTGTAGAATTTGTACCTGCCTGTTGTTTTGTAGTAATATTCCATCCTCACAGACTTTCAGATCTNCCTCCTCGTCATATTAGATGAAAAGGGTTTTGCTTTCTCTAACATACACCGGATCAGCCAACTGAACTCCATACCCAAGGTGGGGGGAAGTTTGGACCTAGCAGATTCTGCCGCACATGCCATGTCAAGATTAGACATTCTGTTGGTTATTGCGAAATTCAGCCCTTTCTTGAGATTGAATTCTTCAGATTCTGTGAGAACACGGTCGGATAAGTTTATGACAAATTTCTCGGACCCCTGAGTGGCTTCCGGGGTCTTGGTGTCTTGGCATAGGTGTCCGGAGATAGGGGGGCTAACTCTGTGTATTGGACCCAACTGAGTAGGTTTTACCTGAGGACGGGGACAGAATCCAGTCTCCGAAACGTTTGTGTTTTAAAAAGAAATGGTACAGTTTTTTTAAAAATAGAAAAGACGATGGATAATGTCCAAAAACATATTACTTGTAGCAATTTACAATCGTCACAAACTTTTAGATAGTAATTAAAATGGATCTTAGACACGATTGTATTGTATGGATTGGGTTGATCTGGCTCATGATAAGGATCAGTGGAGGGTTCTTGTGAATATGGTAATGAACCTTCGGGTTCCATAAAATGCTGGCAAGTTATTAAGTAGCTGCACAATTGGTGGCTTCTCAAGAAGGGCTCAGCTCCATGAGTGAGTGGGTGTATACATATAGATCTGCAAATTCAGGCTGGAGGGAGCTTTCTTCAATAATTTTCTTGAACATGTGAATTTGATAATCTTCGGGTGTTTCGAGTGCTGAATATGCAAATTTGGAAATATAAGCATAACATCCATGTTTACATTCTTCCATGAATGAAATACAGTGATAATCACATAATGAAATGTTTGTGTTTCAAATTATAATAATTCAAAATCTGAAACTTTGGTATATAAATACACGAATTAACTCTCGAAGGAAACTAATCTCTTCCCTAAATAATACGTAAAAATACAAAAATACTGTTTTGGTGGAAGTAGTCATAGTCATCCAAACAACGTCACTTCAGGTTTTTCATTGGATTCAGAAGGTACAATAAACAATCATTTATACATGTATAAGGAGTTTCTGTAAATGATTTATATATTCATTGTGTTAATAGCATGACTTCCGTATATAAATTTATTCAAGAATTAAATCAACACAATGTCATTCATCAATAATGGATATATCCAATCATCCAAATGAGGAATGTATCACTAACACCACACAAATTAAAACAAATATCAAGGATACATTTCAAAATGTCAAAACAATTACTCATGCTCAATTAGGGAAATTCTGATTATTCGTGCAAATCTTTCAAATTTATCATTTAATGCACATGTAAGGCACACGGGGATATTCCAAGAATGTAGATGCTAGAACATGCGCTGCACATAAGAAGGTTAAGTAACATTTGATTATCCAGCAATAAATTAACAATTTAAGTAGTTCGCTACGTCCACAAGTTCTAGAGACATTTCTGAAGCAATGGGAAATAGCGGAATCTCAGTAGTACTATTTGTGTAGTACACTTTGTATATCAAGTACGTGCACACCGTTTGCAACACATGCGACCTGAAAGGATAAATAGAATATTTTAGGTACATCAATTCTTAAAATCTTGATTCAAACTGAAGTCACCTGTATCATGAATTCCCTTAATACTTACTGATAACGTTTCATGTCTACACGCAAGGGTTCATTCTCAGGAGTTTCAGAAGGACCACCAATCATGGCTTCGAATGTTTCTGATGCCTCGGCATATTTACGTTTTATAATAAATTCATGGCCATCAGCTGAAGTAATTGTCACGTACATAGCTCCAGGTCCCATACATCCTCCATACTGATTTTCTGTATCCTAAAAAACACACACACAAAACTGTTGTCATTATTTCTAGAGGAAAATCTCTTCTCATACATTTCATACTCATTGAACAGTTTACCTGAGGATTATCTGCCATTCTTTTGCCAATGTATACTGCAACAAATAGAAAACAAAATACTTTATTGCACTACCACACTGTTACATTTCCGAGATTCTCTATTGGACTAAGACAAAAAGGTAAAAGATGTAAAAAATACAGGGCGTTTTCTTTATTATGACACTTCAAAATTTATACAACTTTTGTTGCTCAACGCAGTTATACAAAACTTAAAAAAAAATCATTATACTCACTCACTCATGGAGCTGAACCCTTCTTGAGAAGCTGCCAATTGTGCAGCTACTCAAGAATTTCCCAGCATTTTATGGAACCCGAAGGTTCATTGCCATGTCCACAAGTGCCCTCCACTGGTCCCTATCCTGAGCCAGATCAATCAAATCCATAACATCAAACCCTATCTCTCCAAGATCCATTTTATTATTTTCCACCCACCCACGCCTTTGTCTTCCCAGTGGTCTCCCTCTATATGGTTTTCCCACCAATACCCTATATTCATACCTCTTCTCCCCCATTCATGCTACATGCCCTGCCCATCTCATCCTTCTTGGCTTGATCATTCTAATTATACTTGGAGAAGAGTACAAGTTATGAAGCTTCTCATTATGTAGTTTTCTCTAACCTCCTGTTACTTCATCTCTCTTCGGTCCAAATATTCTCAATACCCTGTTCTCGAACACCCTCAACTCCTATGTTTCTCCCTTAATGTCAGAGATCAAGTTTCACACCCATACAGAGCCACAAGCAAAATGATAGTTTTTTATTCTAATTTTTATGTTTTTTGACAGCAAACAACAAGACAAAAGCTTCTGGACTGAATGGTAGCAAGAATTACCCCAGTTCAGTCTCCTCTTAGTTTTTTCCTGAATCAAGTTTTGATCTGTTATCGTTGTTCCCAAATATTTGAACTGTGCCACATTTTCAAAATATCTGTTACATATCTTTTTGTCATGATTTTGCCCTGCATTTTGGTGACTAGACAGCAACATATACTTAGTTTTCTCTGTGTTTACTTCAAGACCGACTTCCTTACTAGCGTCAATTAAAGTTTGTGTGTTTCTCTTTATGGTACCTACAGTACCACCCAGTAGATTCACATCAACAACATACACCAACAGCTGATGTGTCCCATTTAATCTCAGTTCCACCTGGTTTTTCTGGATCTTCCTAATGGCATATTCTAAAGCTAAGTTGGAAAGCAGTGGCGATAAAGCATTTCCTTGCTTTAGATCATTCTGGGTAGGGAAATTATCAAATCTTCACCTATACGGACTTTATTATACGTTTTGCTTAATCACATTTTAATCAGACTAACTAGTTTCATGGGTATCCCAAACTCTGTCAGAATATTGTACAATACTTCCCTCCTAACTAAATCATAGGCTTTCTTGAAGTCTACAAATAGCGGATATACTGTCTCATTGTACTTCCATTTTTATCTCCAATATCTGACAAATGCAAAATTGTAAACAGTAGTTGTGTTACTTCGAAACCCACACTGATGATCCCAAATAATTTCATCTATGTATGGACTTAACCTTGAGAGAAGGATATTGGATAAGATTTTATATGAAGTTGACAGCAGTGATATCCCCCGATAATTACTACAGTTTTATCACCCTTCTTGTGAACTGGTAGAAACAATAAAAAAATCATTATACACACAATTAAAAATTATTACACTAAAACTCTTTTATGTCATATCCTCGAAGATCACTGGAACACTATTTTTATGTGAACGAAGAACAAATTTGTTACAACCTTGGTTACAGTTTCTGTTGAAAGGGCCTCAGTCTCTGATTGAATGGCAGTATTCGACACGGCATTGGGCTGATTTTTCTGAAACACGCTGTCCTTCAAGTACCCCCGAAGGAAAACGTCGCAAAAGTTTAAGTCCGGTAAGACTGGTGGCCATGAACACCCTTCTTCAAACAGCGCAGGATACTGCTTCGTCTGGACTGTTTTCTCGAAAACGTCACAGAGAGCTATGTACGACTTTACTCGCGTGAGATCTCTCACTGTCTTGATGAAGCAAGGCTGAATTCACTGCAATGCCTATCTCATTTGGAAAAGGGGCAAATTCTGCCCTCAGCAGACTAAGGTAAACATCAGAAGTGACTGTACCATTGATTAACACGGAACCGAATATTCCAATGCTTGATAATGCACGCCATACCACCCCCCTCTAACACACAAAAACACGCACAAACACACACAAACACACACACAAATATATATATATATATATATATATATATATATATGGATGCAGTTGCTTGTTAACAGTCAGTCGTGTGTTCTTTGAGGCACAAAATCAGTTATTTCACTTGTTAATGTAACCATCCAAGTGGAAGTCTGCTTCATCGGAGAATAATGTTACATTCAAGACTAGGGGGACTGCGCTCCAGTAACACTGCGTACTCCCTCGCAAAATCGTAATGTCTTGCCATTCCATGTTCTGAGAGCGACTGAATTGGCTTAATTCTGTAGGGAAACAAGTCATCACGACAGCGCTGGTTGAGACGCCAGTCTACTGTGCTAAACGTTAGCACACTACTTCTCGGATTCCTTTCTATTCCCCCACGTGTTGTACGCGTACTAACAAATCCATCCGTGCGAAGAGATGACCTATGTTTACGTCCCTTCGCCAAGTTAATCACACACTCTTTCTTCAAATTGTTTAATAATCGGGTAGAAAGTCTCTCTCTCGAGAGTGCGAAAAGAATAGAACACTCTTGACGATACTGTCTCTTCACAGCAACGTAAGAATTTCCAGAAGAGCAAAAGTTCTTGAAAAACACGTTCTGATCCGTCGTACCGGACGCCATATTATTACTAAGTCTGGCGTTGGAAACGATAATTATACAAGTCTGTGGAACGTTCTGTGAAAATTTTGTAAAATTACGTTCAGTAACGAAGATACTATACAAATTTAAATTTCCGTATTGTATAGGAAAACTCTTCACAGTTCTTAACACAAATATGCAAATATAGCTATCTGCAGGCTTTTTATAAAACACAGTCATAACCAAGCAAAATAATTGTGAGAGAAATAATTTTTTCACAGATACATACAATACTTTAAGAATATTCGAATAAGGTTAGTTATTTTACCTAGCAGGAATAAAATGATTGTGATGGCTTCACCGTGTTTATATTACGATTTAATGTTTAATGGCAAAAGGAAGATTTTGTTTCCTGTATAGTACACTCATTTCTGGCACATAGTGAGCTTAGTGTTCGGCATATGGAGGCCATATTTATGTTGTGTTCATATTATATATGCATGAATTTGCAGCTTTGCCATATCCACAACTTCAATAGTAATCAAAGTAAGAATTCACTGGTAAGGGTAAAGTAAAATGTAAAGCTATCCCTGTAACAGGCCGTGAAGGTTCATAGGGTTGTGAGACGTTGACGGTCCAACATTATCTAGACAATCGGATCAAAGATGGCGGTAAGGTTGTCAGCCTTACGCTCCGGCCGCGCTTTACTCCCCAGGAAATTATTTAATTAATTCCTGGTACTCATTTCTGTTAAAGGCTGAGTCGACCCCAGGGCCACAGCGCGGCTGGAAGTACTAGGTCAACTGAAAAAATCCAATGACCTCATTGGGACTTGAACCCGCGAACTTCCGGCTTGTAGCACAGTCCCTCAACCAACTACGCTATGGTAAGTATATTAAATGTCTCAAATTATTCTCTTGAACAGACTCTTTCAATACCTGCAATTTTAAAGATTTTCCCAAGGATGTTAAATATTTTCTTGCTGTTAAATTACTCCATATTATATGATGGAATAGAACCAATCATAGCAAGCTAATTTTAATGCATGTATTTTCATTAATGAGGCGACTGTTCTCACAGCAAAGCTCGTTGAAGTTAATTTGTATACTGCGTGCATTCCATTTTTTTTTCCCCAATTTAAATTACTGCCTGTTTAAGTCAGAGATTAGTTTCTATTTCGTCAGTTGCTTTTATCATCATAACCCGTGTTCAGATTAAACATGTTCTAATAGCAAACGCTATTAAGTTTGTTTTGTCAGAGTTTAATGTTCATTGGCCTTAAACAATTACTTTAATCTAGCAAAGATTTCATTCGAGCAAAAATGGAGGTAGTCAATTTCTGGCTGAGATATGATATTACTAGTATCGAGCAAATTTTCCACCAACATTCAACCTATTGTCGTCGTCGTTACGTGCACGTCCGTGTAGTCCGTTGAAAGTCAACCAACATTTCAGAGGAACATACCGCCTCCATTTTTAGGGTCGGCTTGCCAGCTGCTTTCTCACGTTGGTATCTTGCTCGGCCTATTTGACCCTGAAGATAGAGGAGATACGTTCCTCTTAGACTTTCAATGCACTACACAACGTTATATACCAAAAGACAGTATTCTTCGGTCTAGAACTGTAATGCTCTTTAATTTGCGTCTTCTATTGTCGACATTTTAGTATGACGGTCCGGGTTTGATTCCCGGCAATGCAAGATTTTTTCTTCTCCACTGCGTCCACACCGACTCTGCGGCCCACCCAGCCTCCTATCCCAAGGGTATCGAGTATTCCTTTCCCGAGGGTAAAGCGGCAGAGGCGTGAAACTGAGCACTCACTTCCATCTAGTGAGGAGGTCAAGAAAGGTGCATCTATATTTGTACTTCCATTACCCCATGTCTTCATGGCATAGTGCTTAACTAATTAAGCACAGGGACAATTTTACCTTTTACTGTCCATTCCTCCTAAAACCGTAAAACACTGAAAGTTGCTGAATATTCAGAATTGTTTGTAATATTATTTGGATGGGCTCACGTCTGTTGTATAGAACGTTTGCATGTTCCAATGCTTACACTTTTCATACTCTTCTTACTTTACGTTCAGACTAACGTCCGTTTATTATATAATACATACTTTCAGCATCTTTAACAAATTAATTTATTTGTAGTTTGTCTGTGGTTGTCGTCAGTAACCAAAACTTTTTAGCCTCGATGATTGGATTGTAGTGAAAAATTAATTGAAAAGGATTTGGATGGAAGCGGTCGTAGCCTAGTTTCGGTGCTTTCCAGATATGTGCCGAAAATCTTCAGTCAGCGTATAAGGCTCTCCGGGCCTGGATTCGAATTGAATATCCCCGGAATACAACCCAGAAGCATTCCACGTGAGACAACTAGCTCTGTGACTTCAGCTAACTTACTGCAGTGAATACTCGTTACTTATGCTTCATTCCTAATATCTGCGGAATGCACCTAACACTAAACACTAAACTTGAGCCAACTAGCCCGGGGACTCCAGCTGAACTTACTGCAGTGAAGCCTCGTTAGTTATACTGCATTTCTAATATCTGCGGAATGAACCCAGGCACGAAGATTAGTAAACAGGGCAGCTTACAACGCACTGACTGTTTTGTGTACATCGTTATTCTCAATGCAATCAGTGGAGTACGGCATGGATCTATTTTAATGGGCTCTGAACATATAGCGCATATTTCTGGTCAGAATGAGTTTACGAGCACGAATAGTCCTTCCTTGAGGATTAACGCAGAAAACAGACATGGACGCTACAATACAGTATTTTTCTTTTCCCGTTATTTTACGATGCTTTCAGTATTGGAGATTATATAACATCGAACAGTAGGGTGATAGATGAATGACGGATTGGGAAGTATTTGGTGTCTCGGACGCGATTTCAGCAGAGTACTTCCGGAATACAATTCTAGAGCATTATTCCTAGAGCGACCGGTGCGGCAGAAAGCTATAATTTCGCTCTATGTGATAGGAGTTTCTTTTTCGCCTGACAAATTTAAAGTATCCGTTCTTCAATGCGTAATATATAATTGTACTCTTGAAATTAATAAGTTCCGGATTACTGTTCACAGCAGTCAGAATTCTGGCAGTTGTAGGTACATCATTGAAATTGAATGGGACACATTAGCCTCTGGCCTATGCTGATAATTTATTGGGAGATGAGTATCATGAACAAAAACACAGTACCTCTAATAGACGCTAGTTTAGGCGGCTGATGAAGTAAACACGGAAAGAACTATGTATTGATTCATGTCTCGTTAGATAGCTAATTCATCTTTTGAAAATGTGACAGGTTTAAAATATATAAGATCGAACAGTAACAAATCAAAATTTTGCTTCTGACGAAATTAAAGTCAGGTTAAATTCCGGGAGTCTTGTTATCGTTCAATTCATATTTTTTTTTGTCGTCTCTCTTGCTATATACAAACAAAGATTAAAATATTCAGAACTATAATTTTGCCTGTACTTTTACACGGCTGTGAGATTCTATTCTTCACCTTAAAGAAAAGAACACGGGCTCAGTGTGTTGAGAAAAGGGTGCTGAGGAGAGTATTCTGGACTAGGAAGAATGAAATAAGACGAGGCTGGGGAAAACGATATAACGAGGGGGTTTCATGAGTTGTGCTTCTCTCCAAATATTAGAATGATCGAACCAAGGAGTGATATGGCTAGGGCATGCAATATGCATCTGAGAGGAGTGTGTATAGTGTTTGGTAGGAAGACCTGAAGGAATTAGACCATTTCGAAGAATTAAATAAGGATTTTTTTTTTAATTCGTAGAATAGATGGACGAACTGGATTTATCTGGCTCAGGACAGGGAGCAGTGACAAGCTCTTGTGAACACAATAATTAGCCTTCGGCCTCCATAAAATCCTTGGACTCAATAACTCAGTTCCATGGACTTCAGCTTGTCAGTTAGCAGTTAAGTAAAAACCACGCACTTTTTCTAATGATATCTTTGAAAAATTCACGAGTGTACTTTGTTAGGGTTTTCCTCTTTAGTTGCACCTGACCTGTATTGTCCGATACTTTTTCAAAATCTTGAACTCCCTACACACTGCCACTCCAATCGAAGATGCTTTTTTTTTTTTTTTTTCGGTATCATGTTCCTATGTAATAGCTAGCCTGGTGTTTCTAAAACTATCTTTACAAGGTCTACTATCACTGAGAATATGCATACTGCAGTAATTTGATTTATAGTTGACTTAAGATTAAGTGACATCAGTAGAAAACTAATACTATTTACGTAACTTTCGGCAAGATGGAGATTTATGTCGACATGAATGACAAATTGCCCTCTTGATTTATGAAGTTAATTTATACATCATTCAAAAGCTGTTCATATTCTACAGCGAATTATCTGTGTGCAGCTGAAACTTATACTTTGAAGAATTTAGAGAAAGAAGTGCATAGCACAGCAGTCTACAGGAACGTCAGAAGTGGCATTTCCTCCATCAGTTGTTGATTCTGGAATGAAACTGGCTGACCACCAATTAATAATTTCAATGAATGCGAAATGCTGCATAGCATGGGGAAGATTGTGTTCAAATTTCTGTTAGAAATGAGACTTTTCTTTACTTAAGATATTAACATTCCTCAATTATGAATTCGGATAATTTGCGTACTCATCAGAAAACAGAACATCGCCGCGTTTCTAAATTCTGTTAAAAAGGGATACAGCAAAAGCGGAACGCCTAGTTCGCAAGTTGTCATATTCGTTCACAAATGAACAGGAACAACAGGCGTACATTGCATGTCCTGCTTCTCTCGTGATTAATTATATTTGATTAATTTTTGGTAAATTTTAACCAAAATGCTCACTCCTCCTTCCGCCAGAGTTTAGTTTCTACAGAAAGTCGTACAGTCTTAAAAATTTCTGGCAATTTCACGCGGCAATTAGTTAAACATGGAAAATTGGATGAGTATACAGTATTAATAACAATTAATCAACCATCAGTTCTGTCTGAAATCCTCTGATATTCTGATGACACACCAATATATTCGAAACTTAAGACTAACATGAATATAACCGACGTTTCGGAGGAACGTATCGCCTCCATCTTCAGGGTAGAAGGAAAAATAAGAAAATCCGCAAGCGAAGAGACGATGAGAACCGGTGCAAGCAGATAGGTTCCTCCGAAACGTCGGTTAACACCACATCTACACGGTGCCACATCCCAGAAGACTTCATAGTCACCGCCGTGAAAACCTCAAATCTTAAGACTAGCATATTACTGTGTCCATGATGTGTATTTGTACCGACCGTCTTACAGTGCACACAATTTCACTTTTCTCCTCACTACATGTTTCGACACTAATGTCCCATCTTTAGGTGTGATTTTATTTACGTCAAACCATTGCACTGTATGCCATGACGTAAATAAAATCACACCTAAAGATGGGACATTAGTGCCGAAACATGTAGTGAGGAGAAAAGTGAAATTGTGTGCACTGTAAGACGGTCGGTACAAATACACATCACGAACGTGAATCAGTGCAGCAGGACGCTAAAATATAACATTATATTTACAGTTATTTTGACAATGCCACAAAACATGATAAACTTACATAAATTGAGAAATGAAGATAAATGTTGTACCGGTACTTACCTGAGAATACAACCAACCAGTCGTTACTACAGCTCGAATGAGAGTGATGAGGATTCTTCTTTCTAGATTTCTACATAGCTGGTGCTGCTCATGTTCATGCGCTTCATGCGTGCTCAAGTTACTACGTAGTCAAATACATTACCAATTTTTGAAGTCTTGTTTCGTTCCAAAGACCACTGTGAACCAGGATTAAATTGTATGCTGAAATTGAACGCAACCAAGCGTGAACATTTAAAGCGTGGATATGCATACTCACAGATGACTGTCTTGTCTTATACTCGTTTTGGAATTACACTACAGGACGTCTGAATTAATGATCCAAGTACGATTATTCCTTCAGAGGAAGTAGTGCTTCCTATGGAATGATAAATCTGTAAGGATATGGAAGGAAGCGGTTATGTCTGTTTCAAGGTACTATCCTGGAATTTGCCTAGAGGGATTGGCGAAAACCAAGAAGCTCCTCACTCATGAGGCTCATGAGCACGGGGGTACAGCTCAATGCTATTGGCGGGCAACATAACCGCCGTGACGTCATGAAGCATCACTGCTGCCACAGTGCCCGGAGGCAACTCTATTGATACAAAATGGCTGCCGCCAGTGCCGAGGGCTCGGTCAGTAAGCGGGTATGCTATCATACCACCTGCCCTGTCGGTAAGAAAGTAAGCTATCATGCCACCAGCATTTGTGCACTGCTCCCTCACAAAAAATCACTGGTTCACACGGATAGCTAGAATTAATAACCGATGTAAATGAAATGTTCATATTTTACAGGCACTGGTGAGAAACTTTCTCCCGATAAATAATGTTGCAACCCTGGCCTCTTGTACTGCAGAGGTTCTTCTCCCGTGTAGACTTCAAGTCAGAAGCGTTTCCCGTCTCAGCAAAGTTCGTACCAAAACTTGCCACAGAAAGCATGTTCTACTCATAATTTGATTGACGATGCTATCAACATCTCAGACTATACGTGTATATAGAGCACCGAATAGTAGAATGATAGTGTATAACAAATTGGAAATGCTATGTAAGGAAGTGGCAATGCCATATTTCAAGGTAGTACCCCAGAATTTTCATGGGAAGTGAGAAACCTCAGTTAGAGTAGCCTGTGTCCCGTCCGAGATTCGTTCCAGAGCCTCCCCCCCCCCGATACAAGTCTAAAGAGTTTCCGATTGGGCCAAAATACTCGGCAGCGAGCATATTGTGGGTTACAGAACCGTTGCTAAGTGGTGACTCGTTAAACAGCGACCGTTTCTGGATAACGGCTCGGTAAACACGTTCCATTTGCTAGATAGCAGATTGTTAATAATACAACAGTTAGACTACAACAGTGGAAACGGAATGTTTCTACGTGGTCCGTGCCGAGATGTTATAAGCAAGAAATAAGGTTCTTTCAGTCGAGTTCTGCATGGGAGGCTGTGAAGAGTGGACCTGGGCGCATGAAGCTGAAGAACTACCACTGTTAGAAGCCACTTCTAGGGAACGGCTGGTGAAAACACGGCAGTCAGGAAAATACTTAGCGAGTACTGCAGTGATTTGTGAACTGTGGAGCTTAGTGGTGGCTATGTAATTGCTTGTATTTCCGAATCGTGTGTATAAGTGGTCAATAAATCCATTCACAAATCAGAACCCCGTCAATAGTCACCCCTACATTTGATAATATCATGCTTTCTTTTCATTTATCAAATAGCATACTTACAACATCACAATTTCTCCTGCAAAGGTTTGGGCACAAAATCATGAACGGATCAGTTATCGGAATCAATAGAAACAAACTGAACATACGAGGGCTATTCGGAAAGAAATCTCCGGTGAGCAGTTAACGAGACAAGCAGTAAGAAAAAGGTATTATACTTGTATACAAAAAATACATACATACTGTCGCGTATCGGGCGTCTATCGCGACAAATAACTTCACGCCGTATTTTATATAGCGAATTTTATTTCACATTCGCACTTACAATCACCAAAATTACAGATTTACGGTTACTGCTATCTGCAGTATCACAATTAGTACACTCCAAATGCCAGAATACCACTGACTAGTTGTTGGCTAACCCGGCGGTAGCTCCAGGACTCACTGACTGACTCAG